ATCCTCTACTTGTTAAGCACTCCCATCTAGCATATTTTTCCAATTCATTGGAAAAATAACAAAAAGGCTACAGTACCTTTAAAACTCTTATGGTTGATATACTAACTAATTTGTGTATTAGTATCATGAAGCTAAGTCTAATACTGTACTACTTTTAAAGCATCTCTCTTCCTGGACAACATCCAGAGACACCCCACAAAACTGTCTGTTCCACATCCGATGTGGTCATTTTCTTATAGGTGGAAGCAACTGATGGACCAAATGGACCAGAGATTCAGGATTTTTGAAGCATATTTAACATGTACAGTATGCTATAAACATCATCAAGAGCATCTGGAATGATGTGAGAATCTCCACTGTGAATGCTTTGTGGAAAAGCCTTGTGGAAGGAGTGTGTGCACAACTTCATAGAACCTGTGAAGTTATTGTCACAGAAGTGCCCAAGATCAAGCTTGGCCAAAGGCAGATGTGAATGAGGTTATAGTCTCATAGATAGTAGTTATCACTTAGTACACCTAACAGAGAAGAGCTCGTCATTGTGGTAATGTGATGTATGAATGTGAAACTGTCTCAGTTCCTTAGGCACACTGATCAGCTGGTTAAGATACAGTAACTGTGGATATGGACCCAAATCTATAGTTTGGGAGGACACTGAACACTGTACCTTCATGGAGGGAGACACAGTGAGCTGTCAGGCAGTTACCTCCTCCATCAACAGTCATGTTTAGTCTTCTAAATTTCATCCTCCCTTCTAGCCCTCGATACCCACTGGTGTGTTAGCTTCTTGGAGCCAATCTGGTCTCCATTTGGCAGGAAGTTTATGTGCCTACCCAGTGTGTTGAGTCTGACCCAGACTCTCCTCACACCAACTAGGACTCCACCTTCTCCCAACACAAACAAGTTTGGTGTTTTATTGTCATTCCATTCAAGTGAATACACTAATTATCTTTGTGTTGTGCAATTTTATTTTACATAATATATACAGGTTTTACATATGAATTTGTGAAACAGGAGTGTGAATATTAGTACAGTATGCTGGGAGGGGGTCTGGATCATAACTCTCATTAAAGCTATGTTCCATCTGCATGTACTGTACTGTACTGTACTGTATATGCTTGCATTGCCTTTTCCAGAACCACAACTCATACAAAGTGAGAGTAAGGTGTATATATACATAGTGTAAACCCTAATTTCCTGTGGAGAAAGATGTGATCTCCATATAGAGAACTGAAGGAAAGTTGGCTTCACCTTAAACTGAAGAGAAACATTACTGTGAACTGCACATACTGGATGGGAGCCAGTCTGAATGAGTGATAGCAGTGCATATAATTGATAAACTCATAACTTATGATAAAAAAAAAGAAATTTTAAAGTTATAGAGGAAGTTAAACTGTGTAGTACTGCATGAACACTATAACTGGCACCTGTCACCTTCTAAATGTTGAGGCCCTACAATCATCACAAGCACACACACTACAAATATCAAATAAATGTACACTAGACAAAACAAGGAGCAAGATCTCTAATTACATTATCATGAGTCAATCATTGTCAAGTACATGCAGAAGGTCACATCTGGGATGGCTTTACCTAAATCACGAAAATTATGACGTATTAATGATGCTTCAATTACCACGATTTTTACATGTTTAGAGTTGCATATATTTTGTATCTGTAAATAAATAAATAAATAAAATCTCTTTAACTATAATATCCTTGAAATATAAAGAACAATATAACAGTTTCCATCCCTTAAACAATTACTCAAAGAGATAGTCCATAACCATTCTGTTAGCTTATTCTTAGTACAAAGTCTCTTCACTTTTCTCAAATTTCAATATTCAACATTTATCTCTTCTCTCTAACACACACACACACACTCACATACTTTCACACTTATATAACTAATGTCTAACAGCCATCTTCCCTTTACAAATTGAAACCCATTTCTGGATAATTTAGCATGGAGACCTTGCACTTTTGAATGATTTGTTTTTTCAAAATCCTGAGGTTGCATATTTATGTACAGTACATGATAAATTAGTACTCTCTAAAAGGCATTATTATTATTCAAAACTGGAGGGAAAAAAACTAAATACTGTGAAAAACACTAAAAAAAAATAACCAAAATTGTATATAATTATTTTTATTTAATTCCTCTCTTCCAAATACCATATTGCTTTCAACGTACGTGATATATGTCAACTATAAAGTACAGTGTATATGTACAGGTCACTCTACTGATGGCATAATGTAAGACTGATAGTGAAGAGGAGTCTTTCATGCAAACTGCTGAAAGGAAGAAGGTCTTTCCTGTCTGGGATTTAATCAAAGGACTAATGGTACATTTTTCTGACTCTATGTAAAATAAATAGTAAATGTATATATATAAATTAATGGTAAACAACTTGACATATTACATGAAGTTAATGCACTAAAAAGTTACCATTACCTCATTTTGAATTTTCCACAATAGTACAAGCTCTCATGGTTGTTGTAAGTGTTTCCCAGAGAAAGTCACGCTCAGAAATCTTGACATTACTTCTTAAAAGTTTGAAAAAGTCAAATAATTAGAAATATCGTATATTTGGGTATATAATCATATTAAAATAGATCGTCAATAACCTCGAGGAACATTTCTTAGAATAAGTGAAAATATCGCACAAGAGGGCACATGACTCATAACAAAGTATCAATTAAAACCTTTGTCATTACTGTATTTGATGCATGATCATTTTAAAAAAGCTAATCAGTGTAACTTTAAAACAAATCTGTATTAACCAAGATAAACAAATACTTGGAAGAAGTGACAAAAAATTTAATAAAAATTGCCCTAGAAAAACTTGACTACTGTATATGGAATAATAATCTCATCAATATATCCAGTCCAACCTTTTTATATGTCAACAAAACCAACCAAAGGAATAATGGGTCAACACGCTTAAACAAAAACAACAGCGAGAAATATAAACTGGAATGACTACATCAGATATTATGTGATCTCTACAAAAGCCAACAAGAAATTGTATAGATTATAGCTAGCTAAGCTGGTGTGCTAGTACAAGTCTGTAACAGAGAAAACTAGTCAACTTAATGTCATTAGTTTATGGGTAAATAGCTAAGTCAGTAACCCTAAGTTTTGAGAGGACATTACTCAGATTTTATAACATACTGTATAATAAACGACTTTTTAAATCTTTCTGGTGGCCCCAGAAGAGCACCAAACATATCTGTACAAATCTTAAAAGAAACAGGAATTGAGAGATAGAGAGAGAAGAGTAAAAATACCAAAACAGATAGACAGACAAAGAGACAAGGAAGTCTTTCAAGTTGTTGCAATAAGCAACCAAGACTTACAATTACTGATATCCCAAAGGTCTGTACCATTCATTCGTACATGGGTAATAACACCATTTATGAAATGTCTGTGTTGCTCTTAGTTGTGGCACTACAGCACAGCACGAGGCGGGTCACCACAGTGGGGAGAACAGGCCAGTGGTGCACTCTGAGGCATCACAAGCCTCTTAAAGTTTACTCTAAAAACATATTAATAAAACAAACCCCAAGACACCAGAAAATCACCCAGCCTAATGAAACAGATTTATTAGAATAGCAATATGAATATCAATATAAATCTAAATTGCATATTCGTGGTAATTTGCATTCCTCAAAACACCATTACTACTTCCATACACTGGTACAGCAGAGAGACTCGGAACCTGCAGTTTTGTGAGCACAAGTCCGTGAGCCCGTAATATGTGCAGGGATACATATATACAATATAAATATATATATATATATATATATATATATATATATATATATATATATATATATATATATATATATATATATATATATATATATATATATATATATATATATATATATATATATATACAGTGATCCCTCGGTTAACGAAATTTAGGTTAACAAATTACCTTCCTTAAGAATTTTCAACTAGATTAACAAACAAAAATTTGGTTAACGAAATCCCTACGAAATCGTGTCAACATGTTTTTGCTTGCTCACCAGCTGGGGTATTAGTCCGCCAATACAGTAATAGGTTCTAAGGCTTAAATTTGTTCTCATTTGAGTAAATATCAAGAAGGTTGTACTATTCAATAATTTTAAAAGTTTTATATTAAAATTTTTAGTCATTTTAAAAATTATTTAACATAATTGAAGTATAGGGAACTAGTTTTCAGAATGCCAAACAGCCACTTGACTCACCCAGAATGGCATCAGTTTGTGTCTCTGCTCAGTGGAGGAAGCATCTTGCTTGAGACTCTCTTGAACATAAACTATTTTTATGTTTTTACAGTACAATTATTGGTCATTCCAAAATTCATTTTACATATTGACAATATATAGTGCAGTGCAGTGTTGATTTAAAGAAAATAATCTTGAATAACACCAAGTGAACTTAAAATTTTATGGGTGAAATGGCGGCATGAAGCATGGGGTGAGTTCTCTTCCACCCCCACTTCCTTCTCTTCTCCCTTCTCCTCCACCCCCACTTCTAATTCCCATCATCATCAACCAGGAGCCTTCTACATGCACACCTCAAAGTAAGTGTACTTTACTGCATTTATTTTTAGTTTGTATGTAATTTTCGGTGAGCTGGAACCAATTACTCAAAATCCCATTGAAACAATGGTTTCGGTTAACGAAATTTTCGGTTAACGAACGACCTTCTGGAACGAATTGTGTTCGTTAACCGAGGGACCACTGTACACATAAATACACGAGTCTTTAATTATGTAATCAGATCTTATAAAACCTTATATTACACTACTCATAATAAACAGCCATTTCTCATTAACCTTTTTGCTAAGAATAAAGTATTAATAGCGAGCTCTGTGGTGGTGGTGTGGGCCTACGCTCAAGCCAAGAATGAGTAGTGTGATCCCCTGTACAAGAGACAGTAGAAAAGCTAGTAGTAACTCTGGCTTCCAAGTAGCAAAAAATATTACTTGAAGGTTATAAAACTATACACATAATAATATTAATAATAATAATAACAAGAATGCAGAGCTAGAAAAATTATCAATACCAGAGAGAAAAAAAATTGGTTGTACAAAGGTCTACATTCACCAACTTTCTGGTCTGAGAGACTCTTAGGTGACAAAAAAAAAATTACTCCCATTACATAAACTTAATAAATTCAACAGGAACATAACTCTCATTAAATTAAGCCTTTTCTGTTATATACTTAACTACTGTACTAAAAGTTCACAATATACATCTCTCTCAATTCATTTCTTACAAGTCATTCGCCTTTCATTAGTTTTATTTATGACTCACTTCTCCAGCTCTCCACACGGATACTTTGTAAGATTCATTATCATCAGGATCCCAAAATGGAATACACATTTGAGGGTTAGATTAATCATATATATTTTTTTTACCATCATATATTTGGTAAACAAACCTGTTTTAATTATGAAAAGTTAACAGCAATATATTGAAACAAAGCAAGTAAATCAATATCCAACTGAACATAACTAAAACAGGTCTTGTGAACCCTGTTACTGGGTCTTAAATTACCCTATCCCCATCCCCAACCTAACTGTGTCTACCTGGTACTGTATAGAGATTGATTGTCTACTACTGAGCGACTGGAACAGGCTCTTGTGTTACTGCCGACGAAGATTTAACTGGTTCCCGCTCGTCCACGTCCTCCTCCTCCTCCTCTGAAGGTAAACCTCCTTCAGCCTCTAAGAATTCTTCCTCGGGAGAATCAATACTGTTTGGAAGCTCCGTGGGTGGGGAGGGGAGCTTTGGGGTGGTGTCGTCATCGTCTATTGGCTAGAAAGTAAGGATGAAGAAAATAACAAAATTGATCTCACAAAACACAGGCATCCTCCCCATATACTTAATGTACAGATCCTAACAGAAAAAAAGGCAGGTGTACTTATATGGGTTCCTGCCTGCTATAACCTTAACAACAGTGTGTGTGTGTGTGTGTGTGTGTAGTGTGTATAGAGCCATATAAGCACCACACAGTGTATCAATAGAGCCATATAAACACCACACAGTGTATCTGTAGATCCTTGTCTACACTGCACATCATTGAGTATTTTTTCTTTTCTTTTTTTCTAAATTACTGTGCATTTTTCTGCCATAGATGATTTTCATAATTTTTATCAATATTTCCATTCTCCTAAAATATATGATACACTGTACTGTAATAATTTTTCTGATATGTTTATTTAATCAGTGAGACAAGTCTTTGCATAATTCTGTACAAATTAAAAGATAACTATATTTATGGAAAATTCGTGAGTGTTGGTGTCCTTTTTGTCCCTTTGAAATTCTTGAAATACATCTTGTATTTAGCTTTTAAAAATCATAGTTAATAAAGTATATCTAAGTTTCAAAAATAAGCATTATGAGTTTTACACCTCCAAATATGACAACAATACAGCACACAAGTCATAAATTAGACAAACACAAAGTGAACACAATTACACCCCCCCCCCCCACACACAAAAAAAGAAGCAACTTATAAATCTTATCTTACCTCTAATTCTGGTTCTGGCTGTGGAGGAGGGGCTATAAAGTGCTGTTGTCTAGCCTGGGGCTGTGGAGAGGGGTTTGTGGGTAGTTGTTCTGGGGCCTCTTCATGCATAGGAGACTGTGACTGTTGTGGGGATGGAGGCTCAGCGCCTGCAGCCGTCATTTGGGGAGACTGAAGAAAGATCAAGGAGAGAGATGCTGAGTTTCTATGTACAGTACTGTCAAACTTAAGCTTCTAACATTTTAAAACTGAAAACTTTTGGTTTAATCTTGAAATCATACCTTAAAAGTCAAGTACAGATGTAAACTTAATAATCCAACATTTAAAAAACTGACGACTTGAAACTGGTAATTTCTCGTTGGAAAATCTATCTCTCATATACAGTATACAGAACTTCCCATAAAACAGTAACTGTTAGTTGTGTACAGCTTACCTCTGCTTTATTTTATTTATATTACTTATTAATCATTATTATAATGTCTTCCAAAAGACCAAAATCAGAAATTTAAATTGGACAGCCAACAATACAAACATATATCACTCACCAATATAATATTAGATGTTAATTATTACATGTATCTCATTTTTGAAGTGAAAACAAGGGAGATCATTGGGTAAGTCAAAATTAAAACAATTATTTCACTGCACAACAATGTTTTACAGAACAAGAAGATGTATTGAGGTTACACCTGTAGTTAATGTGAACCTTTTCACACATATAGGAGACTGGTGCAGGGGCAACAGAGGCCCTGTACTGGGCATTCGAGGAGCATCAGAAAAATCAGAGAAGGGTTCATCATCATAATCAATGTTTTATGGCCACTTTCCACGCTTGCATGGGTTAGCCGTGATTACCTGATGGCAGCTCTCAACACTGTGCAGTTTCTTACAGTCTCTCTCATTGGGTTCTTCACTTACAAATTCTGGTGGCTGGCCCTGTGGGTGTGACTGTGGGAATTTGCTCTGTTGGTTGTTGAGTGACATCTGTTGAAGGGTCTGTTGTTGCGCCATTAGTTGCTGTTGTAAGGGGCGTCGTAACCGCTCCCCTTTGCGCCACAGTGTGATTTCCTGATAACAAGAAAAACTAATGTAACCGTTTTGCTGACATCTGACTTCTCCGTGTAGATAACCTCACACAGAATCATCTAAATGCAATACAGTGTGTTTCTAAAAGTTAAGCAACCAACATGTCTCAGGGTTGGCTGATTTAAACCAAATGGTTTTTTTAATCAATGCCTTTTTTTCTTCTATGTAACCCATTGCCTCTATTGAAGTTGTTAATTCAATACCATAGTAATGATAATATTGTCTACTATACATTATTATAGAGGTTCTTTGACTCTTTACCACCGACTAGTGTATTAAACTTCAGACTTTTATTCTGGCATCATTCTATTCAGCTGAAGGAAACATCCAGGAGCCAAAAAGTTAAACTGTTATATATTCATGATATAATTTTGTATCCTATTAGATTTATCTCATGTGAAACACTGGTACAGTATCTCAACAAATAATACACATCAGGAATTTAGTTACAGTTTGAAGAATACCTTAAATGGTGCATGCAAATGCCACTTGTACTGTACCCCACACACACACACACTGCTCACCTCACAACACTACAATTTGCCAGTTCATGGAAAGGATCAAATCTAGACCTACTGTAAGTGAAAAAATAAAATATAATAATAATAATAATTTTCATGTAAAAATCTGAATATAAGGAAAATAATTAAGAATGAAACAAGCTCACACCTTATCAGGCTACGAGGGGTCTCTCTGTGTTGAATAAAATTGACTGACGATTACCAAATTAAATATTAAATGTAACGTCCTGTAGTGAAGGGGTCTTACACACCCTATCAGTCACACACACACTTAAAGGCACAATATCTAACCTGTTGTTTGAAGTAGCGCCGTTCCTCTTCATCTACAAGGACCAGGTTCAAGTAGTATCTGACCGAGAACTTCTTGTTTATGTCCCTCATGGTAGGGGTGAGGTCATAGCCGGCCAAGAACACTCTGATGGGAATGCTCTCCCCACGTACAGGAGCTCCATCCATTATTTCATACTTGGCAATAGTTTCATTTTCATTGAAGGTGTTTGGTCCTGTTGACGAAACGTATGGTAAGAATCGCCGTTCTAGAGTGAAATAAACAATAGCTACCACGAATGAGTCAAAATCATCCCCGTGTTATCTAAATTTACTTCTTTTTTGGGGGGATCAGTTTTAATATATTTATGACAAGCATTTCATAAATTAGTATTGGTTTCTTTGATTAGTTGAGTATTGTATATATATTTAATCTGGTTAGTTTGGGTTGTGTAAGGTGCCTGAAATTCAACACAGATGCATTTCCCTCCATTTATATCACTATCGTATTTCTTTTTTTTACATTACACACAACTTCCACAAAACACATTACTGTACTGTCTTATAGTGAGAACTGCTGTAAAAAAAAAATCTAAATATGAAGTACTGTACAACTTTTAGACATTACATTTAGGTGTCATAGTAATTAATGACACAATAACATAAGAATTAACCATGGTAGTAACACAAGGCCTTCAACATGACCCATAGCTACACCAGGTCATCATATATAGTATTAATATATATGGACATCTCCCCTTACACACACCTGCTTCATTAACAGCACAATAAGTGTTAGATACCTGAGCCTGTGGTTTCCCTTTTAATGATAGCAATCTCCATGTGCTTGATCTTGATGCGTACTAACAGGAAATATATCTTGCCAACAATAACATCTTTTAAGTGGTATCTGAAATGACAGAGTAAAGGGGCACACATAGAGTAAACAGTTGCCTTTATATATGGATGAGGGCAAATCTAAAGTGACATGTAACAACAGTATGACCAACAACAATGGGGGAAGCTCTTAACATGTGCCTTGAACATGATACTGTACTGTACAGAATATATAAAAGCTTCTTAATGGGATATTCTACAAACATGATCATCTACCATACAGTGTTAGGCAGAGACTCAAGTTTAAGGACAAAGGATTTAAAAGCAACTATACAGAAGTTACTTTTTTTAGAGTAAAAAACTTTACACTTACTGTACTATCTTTGTATATAATAAGATGTAAGATGACAATGTCTAGTAATCCTGAGTAGTGTATATGTAATGCTACAATTTTAATATATTTATTTCGTATTGTACAAGTTTCTGAGTCATGAAATAATGCACATTAAGTCATAGTTATCACTGATACTTTTCACAGAGAACGACTTACTTGGATTTGTTGTATTCAAATTCAATGTGCAAGCAATCCTCAATACCAACTTCCATCTTAATGGAGTTGTTCATCTCGGGATAGGACGAGAGCGTGTGTACCAGCAGATCCATTTCTCGTGCAATGTCTGACAATCTTCTGACAATTGTTACTCTGAGGAAGTATCTGTAAAAGAAGTACAGTAAAGTCAATATTAAATAACTAAATCAACATTAGCTTCAAGTAAAAATGTTGAGGAAGACCGTGAGTACACTGGGTGGAGGTGACGGTACAGGTACTATATGGTAGTTTAGATGCTGCTGTAAACACAAACAAGTATACAGTAATATCTCCTTCCCGGAACACAATTACTCACCTTAGTCTAACATTTGTTCCAGAATAAGACTCATATGGTTTTTCCACTTGGTTAAATTCAAAATCAAAGGAAGTGTTGTGTGGGAGTTCTCCAGGCCTTGCTAACTCCTTCACCAGTGAGGTGAACTCGTGGTGATTCCCTCGGTCGTAGTAAAGTTCAATTTGACCGACGAATTCTATTTTGACACCTTGATGTTCTAGACGACTGCCAGGCTTTTTGAGATTGACGTTCACCTGTGAAAAGACTGCAGTTAACTTATGAATTATACAGTGTTCAGATATGAATGTCACACAGAGGCTGTACCATAAATAAATATGAATGTTGTCTCCTTAACAGCTGCCATTTCTTGCCATTATAGAAGTGCTCTAAGTACAGTATGTCTATTCTCATGTACAGTATACACAAGGATAAGGTCCCACCTTAGACACAAGTACACTCTCATTATTTCACCTTTCTTACATTTCATCTAAGAGATCTCACTTATGTTCCAAAAGTTTGTCCTTCTTTCCATAATCTTTCTCTCCAACTGTTCATATTAACTCAGGAATCACCTTCTACTTTACCTAACATTTAATAATATTTTTCCTACTTCTTTCTCAATTTTGCTCTTCATACATTTCCTACCATTTACTTTCCTCAAAAAATATATCAAGATTGTCTTCACACAATTAACACACACACACAGTTTCCTTTTGATTAACAGTAAGACACATGTGGTGCCCAGAGCTATTCAATGTACTGTATCAATGGCTATAATCAAGAACTCATGAGAAGGACTTATCAAGGTGTTCCAGGGATAAAAATTTGTCAGTGATGAGTACCTGGGAATATACTGCATCTTTCTCAGTTATCTCAGACACTGCCTGAGGGCGTACACTGCTGCATATATTTGTGCAGGTTTCTGTAAATTATTTCTTCCCTGTGGTGACTTAATGGCTGGCCAACCTCAATAATAAGGAGTGCAAAACTACTGACTGTCATCATCAATGTTTTACGGCCATTTTCTACACTTGTGTAGGTAAGCCACAATTACCAGACGGCAGCTGTTAAAACCACACCAAGATGACCCCCCCCCATCACGGCAAACCTAAGGTGCCAGCCCAGAACAGGGGATGGGCACTGCTCTGGTGAACCAGATGCCAACAGGCATGTTGAGTCAAGTTTTATAGCTGGATGACCTTCCTAACACCAACCCACAGGGTGGCAAGCCAGCAAGGCAGGGTCGCAACTCCTCAAGATAATCAAACACTACAAGTAATGATGTATATTAAGTGTTTTCCAAAAACCCTTCCTTGGGAAAGTGTAAGGAATTTAAGATGTACACTACAGTATTACAAATGGCAATACTGTACTGTACTGTTTTTATAGTGCAATAAGATTAAATTTTCCATGTTACCCTACCCTTTTAGTCACAAATATTTTGATAGTGCTAAATATTAATAAAATAATAATAGTAAGAAGAAACACTTCCCAGATTATTAAGATAATGAGTTCTAAGGCTATTTGGGTGTTATCATAAGTATACAATACATACAGTAGTGTACAGCACTTACACTCAACCCTAGCTAAAATACTAACTCTACAATACATAGTTAACCAAGTTACACACCTTGCCAGAAACACTTTCACCGTCATAGTACAGAAAATATCGCTCCTTCTTGCCATCTTCTGTCTTCATCTCTGCCATCTTTCGGGTGTCGGAACCGTCCAACTGTATTTCAATGTCGGCACTTTGGCCGAACCCAAAAAAGCTCTGAAATTAAAAATACAGTAGATGTGTAGACTATACAGGTAATGTATTATGAATGACAACAGTTTACTGCTGAGAATGTCTACTCTCCTCACATCAGGTGACAAGGATACTTACTCATGAAATTCCCATACAGTATGTTGTACTGAAAGGAAAGTTCATTAAAACTTACAATACTTAACACTGTAGCTGCTCATGTTGCTGGATAAAGTGTTAACAGCATCCACTCTTTCACCTGGACAAACTAGTACAGTTCTGTCAGCTGCAATTAAGCCCGATGTTATTGACAAATATGTGCAGTGAGTGTGGAAGGTGGGGAAAAAATGGTTGCAGTGTTGCAGATTGCAGGATGCTGCTGAACCTAGTTCAGTTGCAAAAGTTAGAAGTGGCTGGAAGTGTAGGAGTTGTTGCCTTAATTGATAGCAAGAGAAACTTCTGTTCACTTGAAAGGAAAACTACAGTAAAGTATATACAACTGGCATGAGGAGTGTGCTGTTTATGGCAGTGAAACACGACCAGTTAAAGAAGATGACATACACATGGGGAGATGGATGTGTAGTATGACAGTGTGACAATGAGAGATAAATCCTGTTGAGAGCTACAAGGGCAGCTGGGTATTGGTGAGGTTTTGTGTTGGGGTGGGCAGAAATGGCCTGGACATGTGGAGAGAATGAAGGAGACCAAATGAGTCAAGAGATAAGAGAGTTTGAGGGGAGAGTTGACCAAGAATGGTAGAGGGAAAGGTTGTGAGATATGACATCAGAGACAAGAACCCGACAAGAGAGGCTGTAAGAAAGTGTCCTTCAGGTAACCCACATAAGCAGGGAAAATGGCAGAGACACAGTGATGATTACTATGATTGTATTTTGACTGAAAAGTTTTACTTATGTAAATAAAAATAATATACTGTATTGTGGTTTGAGACAAAGGCAAACCCGATGAAAGTTAAGATCATTATTGTTATTTTTATTTTTCTGTTTTCATTCAGGAGTTTGAAATAAAAATGGCTTCTTAATTCTCGACTATATTTTAATACACAGGCAGCTCTCCAAGTACAGTATTGGCTCTTTGAGAAATGTTTAAATATATAAGAAGTTCTCTCTAGTTGTGTTCACCAATGTATTGTAAGTATTTGTTCTAAACACAATACCCTACTGTCCTGTATGTTTCAAGTACCAAGTATGAGATCCAATTACCCTGTACAGTACTAATTATCCTTAGACATGTTCAGTTGTAGTGTTAACAGGGTGAGCTGCAGGTACAGTACCTCTTACATTACCATACCGTACTGTACTGGTTTATCAGTATTGTTTGTTATCTGACACAGTCTATGTTTTCTGTATGCATGAATGTCTTATCTTATCAGTATCATACTGTACAGTATTAAATAACAATGAGTTCCTGATCCATGAGGAGTAAGTGCTTGTTCACTGGTTATTCTGACTGATTGAAAAATGGTGGAATGACCCTTGTGCTGTAATAATTAGCCAAGCAGCTCTCATAACACAGACTCACATACAACTGGGTCTTGACTCCACCAGATAAGATCTTCCAATGCCAACTTGGGTTAATCTGTTATTCCCTCGGCTAAGCTGATTACTGCTCCCTTACCCCAGTACTGTACGGTACCACCAAGTCCAGATAAGCAGGACATGAGACAACAGTTAATCCAGAGAGCTGAAGATCTAATCAATGCTGTGACAGCTAAACTACCATTCACTGGTCTTGACAATTTGTTTTGCATTACAAGTGAACTCTTGTCAAGTCAATCACTTTTACAGCAACCCAATGACCAGTAAACAGGAGACATTTCTGCTCCAGAGGTATGGTAGCCATCAGCCTATAGGGAGTCTTACAATCATCTACCATTGTAAGCCAGACAAACCTGAGGATAACACAGACAATAAATTCAAAAGGGATCAACATCCCATAGATTAAATAACACTTATATACTGTACTGTACTATCCTGTCCTGCACTGTATCCCCAAACAAACAACTGCCTGAAGGACCAATATTCTGGCAAGGAGCATTGAAGGAAGCTCATGACAGCTCTTGCAACAGAAAACATGTTCCTCATAATGTGAAGCTGTAAATGTAGTGTTCTCATATTAAGAGACTACCTAAAACAACCCCTAGGGATGTGAAAACTTAAAGATAAGACCACTCTCCCACTCCATCTTAATTTTAGTTAATTTAGGCTAAGTTAATTTTGTTCATGTTATTTTTCATAACTGTTTAGCCCTTTATTTACCTAATGACCACCCACTCAAGGTCGTCATGGTGAGGGAAAGAGGATAGTGGCCTGTGTAGGATCCCTTCATTTTTCTTGACAATTTTGTCGAGGGCAATTTTGAAGCCCGGTACTGTTCTTGATTCCAGAGCTTGGGCTGATACACTGTTCCATAGGTCTACTAATTTCTGTGTGAAGAAGTATTTCCTTACACTGCATTTGTTCTGCAGGATAACTGTGGTAACATTCTGATATGTTCTTATTACCACCATGCTATCTAATATACTGTACTATAGGAATAGCCGTGTATCTGTGTGTCTGTTCTGGGCAGCCGAAACGGCACAATCGTTTTTCATCAAACTTGGTGGAAAAATCGCAAAAAATTCGTAGAGTGGAGCAAACCTGGTCCCACGTCGATGGTTCCTTAAGGAAGGCATTAATTAACCATTTTATTTATGATGGAAAACGATGCAAGTCTACGGACTTGGCGCACCCTAATTAACCATGCAAGTCTACAGACTTGGCGCACTCTCATTCGCTGTACGCTAGCCAAGCATGAGCGTTCAAACTTTCACCGGGCATGAAGGTGCCCACGATCACTAGTGTACGTTCCAGATGATACAGTATATATCAGGTGCCTACAAGAGAGCTCAGGCTCTCAATTGGCTCAGCCAAGTTAATAGTGTTATTATTATTCACTCTGTATCTGTATTTTTCTTGCTAAATAAACTGTTTCAATATCAAATAAAGATAACTTGGCGAGCTTGTAGTTATATGCCCCCGTGTTGGTGGTGTGTGGCATCACAAACAAATGTCCAGGGATCATGTTTTCATCCCTTTCAGGATTTTGAATGTTTAATTGTGCCTTGTCTGAAGGATTGTTAGTCCTAAGGCCCTCAGTCCACTTGGGTAATCAAGATGACAGTTCCAGAATCATCTAAGTCACTTTGTGTTCCACATTTTCTCAGGATGTTAGGCCTTTCTGGAGGTAGGGTTTCCATGTCTGCATACAATAATCTAGACTGGGACGTACTTGACATTTGTACAGTTGAAGGAGTATTTTTCTATCTTTGTATTTGAGACCATTTGAACAGCTCATGCAGGTCTTTCTGCATTGTTGTGACATCACCTTGACTTGCTACCTTCCCAAACATCTTCGTGTCATCCACACCCTTGATAATGTGGTTCGATATACAGTATTTTCATCTAAGTCGTTACTGTTTAGGATGGTGATGACAGCTCGTGGTCAATACCCAGTTTGCACTTCTTATGTTGACAAGCACCTCCCAGCAACTGACCAAACACAGTACAGGGTATTATTTTAGTTTCAGTCATTCGGGGAATATGAGGAATTAATTATTGGAATCAGTAGTTTAGGCAATTCTAAGACACTTTTCTTTTATGACATTTCCTTCACAAATGACACATATGCTGGGGGGTCAATGGGGGAGAGCCCACGGTTAGGTTAGGTTAGGTCATTTCCAAGAGAAACATCATATTAGAAAAGTGACTTACAATTGTCTAAACTACTGATTCTAATAGTTAAATTCCTAAGATTTCCTCAGATGACTGAAACAAAAATTTTGTGCAGAACTTCCTAGTGACCTTTCCATACCTAACCTAACCTAACCATAATTCCATCCAAGGAGAGTTAAGTCAGGTTGGTTCATTCTATCTTACAACAAATTATATACTGGAAACATATCAACAAGGTGTCGACAGAAGGTAACACACTGACCCAGATTCGTGTTCAAGATGAAAACAGTTGCCAAAACAAGCAGTTAGAAATGTTGCAAAAGTTTCTGGTTACCACAAGTCTGTGTTGCAGAGTGTAGTGCCATCATGCGTCAACAACCGTAATCCTTGTACGTATTTAACATGATTCTCGGTTAAATTCCGGTTAATATTGACGAATGACCCGCGGACGAGTTTTTTGTTTTACATTTTCTTGCTTTATTTTCATCAATGAGTTGTGATATGATAATCATTTCTTGTGCAAATGCTTCGTTTGGTAGATAATTAGTTGCCTAGAACCGCACTACTTTGTCTTCTCGGCGGTAATGCAGAGGCGACGTATTTCAAAACACTCCGCTGCCTGGGCTTGAGCAACGCCGATGCTCAGTGTATGCTAAATATACCGAGCTAGGAAGTTAGGTAAGGTTAGGTTAGGTTTGTTTGGTTAGGTTAGGTTTGTTTGATTAGGTTAGGTTAGGTTTGTTAGGTTAGGTTGGTGAGGTCTTCTAACAATGCTTCTGCTACTTGTTATCATATTAACTTAGATTAGGTTAAGTTTAATTTAGAAATAACCACTTTTTTCACACATTTTTCACAAACTACAACAGTGTCCACTATAAAACTCGGCCACAAGTCAGTCATCAATAATTACCCACATTCAAACCATCTCTCAGTAGGCTCCCTCTCCTATCTCACCATTAACAATCACCATCTCATGTTCCTGTACAAAATATAGGAGTAAATGTGTTATAGATACTGACACTTATATCATCCCTCTAGTAACATATTATGCATTAAAATATACATCTGTAGTTATCTCATAATACATGTTAAAAATAAACCAATGGTCTTGTTTAATTTTTAGTAACAATTTACATAAAAAGATTTAAAACCAGAAATATATCTCATTAAATATAAAGACACAAGGACATTTATTAACTCAATAGAACATCAGAATAAAGAACAAACTTTTACTTGAATATTTATATAAAAATTAAGTATCATGTAATGTTGTAATATGTTCTCTCTGGCCCCCTGGCACTCTCATTATCTACTACCATAAAGTTACTACCCACTGCTACTTCCCTATAATACTTACAAGGGTTAATATATTATGTATGTAAAATAAACGAGGTTAGTATAAGTGAGAGAGGAGGAAGGGGGGAGGAGAGTCCATCACACTCCTAAATCAGTAACGGAAATTATCTCCTTTTAACCCTCCATTATCCCTTTATTTAACACTTAACTAAGAAAGAATCCATCTCCTGACTCACCATACACAGCCAAGACTCCTAAACAACTAATAATAAGTTTATACTCACCATTTCTCCAGGTGTGTTTGGACCAACTGGCAGCTCCCTCAACAATCATATGAAAGTATAGACGATGAAACCTGTTGATGTGTGAGTCCCTCCTCCCACCCGACTTGATCCTTTATCCGCGGGGTTTATTACCTTATAACTCTCTTTATTAGTATTGAATACCTTTTAACTCTTAGGTCACATATACCAGCAAAAGTATAGATGGAGAAACCTGTTGATGTGTGAGTCCCTCCTCCCGCCCGACTTGATCCTCTATCCGCGGGGTTTATTACCTTATAATTCTCTTTAGTACTATTGAATACCTTTTAACTCTCACTTACACCGGTATTCTAACCCTAAAGAAATACTCCTTTGATTTTATAGTAGAAATTAATGGTTTATATTCAATAATTAATGTAATAATCTGACTAAAATATATAAATTAACCCAAATGGCCAGACACTTGCCTCAACATGTCAACCCTAAAGGAATTGTCTCATTAAATATTACTCATAATAATATTAGTAAAATATAATATATCTATTATACTTATCCAATTAAATTAAAAATTATATTAATTCTATACGAGTAAATAAACATTTTTATTCTCATAGGTTAAATAAAAATAAAAATTGTAAACATAACCATTCAAGTTTACCATAAAGGTTAATTAATCTCTTATTAATATATTTCCAAAGGAGCATTAATTTATTTATAATAATTTAAAATACTATTTATCTATATTCTAAAGTAAAAAAATCATTTAGTTCATATAATTATAAAGAAGAAGTTACCAGCACCAAGCGGCCGCCACCACGCTCCCATACAAACGTTTGGCTCTACACTATATTCCTTCATATTTCTCTACATTCACCTTTTTCCTCGGCGTAAGATAACTTAATTTATATATGAGGTTATTATTTAGTGTTTAATTAACCTAGATATTACCGAATACTGTTAATAGAGTGGATATTCTAGGTGATGCTACTGTGTGTGTCATTATTTAAATTGTTCTCTGATATTTAATTCGACTATTATCCTTCTATATCATTATTACTCAGTATATTTTATTAATATTAATTGATAGTTTTGCTGTAGTTATTGGTTTGGTCCTTGTTATAGTGACCGGTATCCTGTATTATTGAGTTAACTAAATATTAACATGTTTAAGGTAATGTCTGAGACCACTGTTAAGTTTGGTTCATTTATTTCACTAATGTTCTTATTACAGTATTTTAAGAGGAAATATTTAATTGAACTTAATAGAATTGGACAGCCTTAGCCCCCCCCCCCCCCATGCCTGGTACATTAGAACTAACTGATGAAAATATTGTAAGAAAATAAACTAATTATAACTCACTCATGGGTTAGTTTTATATATTAACTCAATGTATGAATTTGAAGGACCAGGGATAGGTTCAGGGTCAACCTCCTCCTCCAGGTGGCACTGGTTTTTATCCTTTCTATATTTACAAGGCAACTTACAGTGCGGGCACCCAACAGACGTAGGGAGAACGCCGTGATTATGTAACAATTGGATAGAATGATCGTCTTTCTCGTAAAACTCGGCAATAGACTTGAAATAATCGTGGGACCGCGATTGACACCCAACCTCTACCACGGCCATTGTTACACTGGTCATTGAAATTTAAATCGGTACCCGGGCTGCTTCCTTTGAAAAAAATTAAAATGTGATTCGTCGAAGAAAAAAATCGCGGGATGGTATCGATACATCATTGGTCACGACTGGATGACGTCGGTCAGTATTGCGCCGAAAACATCTCCTTGCAGACGAAGACTGAAAGTACGGATAATCAATTAAATTCAATTGTGTCGCTATTATCCATTTCCACCTGGTATATGTGGGGTTCAAAATGTTCAGAATAGAGAGATGTAAATGTTTTAGTGGTTTATAACTTTGGGGTGCATTATGTCCTAAAGTAAAATAATACCAAGAAAACTCTGTATTGACCCTCTAGAAACTTCCATGGGGCAGCAGTGGTAGAAAATGGCAACGCAGAGCGAGGGAGATAAAGGGACGGCGGAAGAGGCAAGACGTTGACGGACGACTCCGTGGTGACGGGCTAATGAGTATTAACCGCACTGAGCCCACCCACGCTACCGTGCGTGTGGCGTGACACTGAAATAGTCATGCTGGAACCCGATAACCCGCGTTGGGCATTCAAACGATGCCGTGAAAAGGTGCACTTTCCGGAACGTCAACCAGGGCGCCCTAGATGATCGTTCAGGAACGAAAACCAGGGCGTAGGGGTTAAGGGAAGTTGTTGGGTGGGGGAAATCACAGAAACAGGTGATTTCCAATGGAGAACAAGGCCAAAATCCTTCAAAGGTCATCAAAAACCATAAGAAAAAACATATTTCTATTACCGAAAGAAATATAACCTAACTTAATGTACCCCATTTTCTGTGTAAAAAACCATAGAAAATCACCAAAAACCAACCAGACCTAACCTAACCTAATCAAGGGGGCAGACCCCATGTTCATGCCCCCACATCTTACCTTACTCTGAAGAAGAATCAGGTTCATCTGGGTCGTCAATGTTTAAATCGATGAATTGAAAGTGGTGCTCTGTGAGTCGGTCACTTTGAGGAGGGTACAGGCTGGCTGCTTGAATGCAAAACCTGTACAGCAAGTCATGTTTATTGTTTCAAACAAACAGATAATGTGCTAGATTCTGTTACAAATACTCTGCATAAATTCCAGGCCGTTTCACATAACCGTGTTTTCTAAAAACTACAATGGCCTCAGTATTTTTCTGATGGACATCGGCAATAGATGTAAAATAATCGCGTTGACAATGTCGGCACAGATCTTCCACCTATTCAGCCTGTCGGCACAGCTCTTCCACCTATTCAGCCATATCTGGTACTGAAATTCAACATTTCCCTCCCGACGCACCCACGCATTGCTCATTGGCTAAGACAAAAACCTCCTGCCCAATAATAAGTCTCCCGTCGCTCCCCAAAAATAACGTTAACCTCACCCTCTACTTACACTAGCCAATAAGAACTCCCACACCACCCCCACACATGCACTGTAGACGAAGAAGAAGCGAACAAACGAACACACAGGAGCAGGAACTGAGAGGGGAAAGAGCGTCTCCGCCCGACGTAAACAAGGAATGGGGTGACACAAAAGATAAATGATATTGGACAAGTAACATCTCGGTTATCCTTAATTTCTGACAAAAATATCATAGAAGAATAATGTCTTAGAATTGTCTAAACATTAAAAAAAAACGTATTTCTAACACAGAGATAGAACGGTGCACTAATATAAAAAGACCCTTATTTTTATATCTGGTACCAACAAAAGCAATTTTGTTGAATTGTCATGGTGTATTTGTGCGTTTTTTGGACGTGAGAGTACGCTCAGATCGAGCGGGTTGGTTGTAAACAAACTGAACATGCTGCACCGACAGATTTTTCGGAGGAGTATTTATGGTAAATAATTAATTTCTTTACAATACAAAGCTTGTAGAGGCATCATTTTTGTGTCATATGATCAGTTTTCACCGTGTTTTTACCCCACAATTTCCCTCATACTTCATGCCCTACCCACTACAGCTGATTTGTGATTATTGTAGATAGAAAAAAAATACTTATGATTAAAATAAAAACTTGTCACCTCTTAAAATACTTACTACAGTATAATGATAAAACATCTGGGGGAAAAATGAACCAAATTGAACAACTCCTTCTGGTGGTAGTGCTGTTGTCAGACATTACCTTTTATTTTATTACTGTATAAGTATTTTTTTTAGATTTCCTCTGTGATCATAAATCACCTGTAGTGGACAGGCCGTGAAGGATGAAGGAAATTGTGGGGTAAAACACGGTGAAAAAATGATCACGACACAAAAATGATGTCTGTACGTGCTTTGTACGTAAAGAAATTAATTACCATAAATACTCCTGCAAAAAATCTGCCGAGTGAGAGGTGATCCTGTACACAAGGGTTTACTGTTAACTCACTCCATTTCTAGTGATATATTGATACACTTTAGCCAGTATCTACCATGTCCCAGCCAACCTAGTGACCAGATGTTAACATACTGCTTACTGGAACATACTGTACAGCATTATTAGCATTAACAAACCTTCACATGCATTACTGTGCAGTAGTTTGTTCTGTGAAAAAAATAATGTTTCCTGAAGACTTACACAGTGTAGTTTGTACTTTTGTATGGCCTCAGGAGCCTTCAGAGCGATGCAAACATTACTACATAAAATCTGGCTGGACAGTATACAGTGTTGAGAACCTTGTGTCCCATTGAGAGAGATGCCAAAAATTTTTGTACTGGACATTGTAACATTAAGAAAAAAATGTGTGGTTGACTTGTTATGTAATGATAGGCAATAGTATTTTAAATATTTTTCTTACATACTGTATGAGAATACTGGATGGAGGTGAATGTGTGTTATGGATTATATAAAAAATAAAGTAGAGAAATATACTAGCAAGCCCGGCTGAGTGAGGATCTCTTGAGCTAGAGCTATGCAGTCTAGCACCTAACCTTGCTCGATCTTACTGCTAAACTGTGAGCATCTGCACATATTTTCTAAATTATAAACATGTCGGGCGTTTAATCGCCGTCTTTTTTATAAACGTGTTTATTGTAACAGGCAACAGGTAGTGGGGAAACATATTCAGATGACCTACTGTAGTTATCTTCCTCCTGTTCAAGCACTCCAGTACTGGCTTAAAGGTCATTGCACTTAGCGAGGTTTGTGTGTACGTATATTATTTAGGTTTGGTAAGGAAAGGAAAGCTCACTGAAATCGTTTGGTTGCTGGGAAGTATTTGTCAAGAGTACCAGTGTAAATATGGCATCTTTTTATTCTCTGTCATCTCTATTGTTTCCTTTGAGTCGGCTGTCCTTTGCTGCCACCATAGTGTAATGGTCTCTTATTATTCTGGCCCACATTTTTCACCTCCATTGTCTACTTATGGTCATTGTTTCCCCCCACACTAGTGTTAGTTGCTGGGCTGTCTGGTGAAGTTTATCTCACTGTGTCTGCTACAGTATCATGTTATTATTCACCACTAAACACAGATGTAACCTGTTGTCTCCCTCATTATTATAGAACATCAACATCAGACAAATGGACTTGTATCATAGCTAACATGCAGTACTTAGTAGGTTAATTGGGAGGAAACATTTAATATTGTTTAAACTTAAATGGCCAAACATTTTTTCATGTTAAGTATGATGTACCGTAGCCCACCTGTAGGTAACTGTAGCTATATTAATGAGATTCTTAATTTTTCAGAGGTGACAATACACAACAATGTTGGACATCCGACCAAATCATACTATTTATGTGAATAACCTAAATGAAAAGGTTAAAAAAGGAGGTAAGACTCTTTTGTTTATAATGTATTACTTAGTGTACATGTGAAAGGAGAGATGCAACTAGTGTAAGAAGTGTGATGTTGTATGGCATGGTAATGAATCATGGGCAGTGAAAGACGATAACTACGGTACATCTGGTTTGAGTGAACTGAGATGAGTATGGTTAGATGGTTGTGTAGTGTGGAACTGAAAGACAAGAGAGACTGTTCAGAGCTAAGAGAGCAATTGTGTAGTGACAGTACAGTATAATCTTGACCAAGTTTTATGTAGAGGTAGACTGAAATGTTGTAGACATGTGGAGATAATGGGGAAGACCAACTAGATCAAGAGATTCATGAGTTTTACTGTGGGAGGAGGAAGAGCCAGGGGTAGGCCAAGAATAACATAGAGAGAGGTTGTAAGAAGGTACCTCAGAGATAAGAACAGTGATGAAGATGAGGGTATCTTTATTAGTTGCTGCCACTACTGGATCAAATGCCTATGGTAACTAGGGATGCACCGGAATCAGAACTTGTCAGAACTGGAACTTAGTGTTATAGCTGTATTTTTTTTTCAAGTTGATTTTAAGTACATGACATTCATATATCTTAGTACCGTATGATATTGGTCTATGTTCAATTTTTTAAGGTCATTTGTCAAACTAGAGTTATGAATATGAAGGTTTAGGTTATTGTTTACTTGTTGCAGTGGTTCCCAAACAGAAGGCTACAGTGTTTTTCAGAGGTGAATCACGCATGTACTGTACTGTATAAGTTGCTGATAACTTTAGCCCCAGCTTCCCCCAGTCCTCTGTAGGCTCTACCTAAATATTTACTGTAAATCATTAACTTGACACATAAGAGGTTCTCACTTGATGGTTGGTGGCCAAATTGTTTTATTAACTGTGTTTTGTGGTGGCCATATTGTCTTGTTAGCCATGTTTGGTGGCTATGTTGCCTGAATAGCTATGTGGGGTGGCCATAATATCTTAATAGCTGTGTCTGGTGGCCATGTTGTCTTACTAGCTGGGAAGACAAGAAAACAAATGCCAATATTGTTGCTGACACCAACTGTAGGAGCATCGAGGCTACCATTATCCATGAACAACTACATTGAATTGGCCATGTTACCCGCATGGACGACAGTACACTGCCAAAGCAGCTACTTTACAGTCACCTAACAAATAGCAAACATAACGCTGGTGGGCAACTGAAAAGGTATAAGGATAGTCTTAAGACAAACCTGAAAAGGTACCAAATCGGCCCCCTCACACTCCACACGGTAACGCTTGGAGGAGCACCACAAGAGAAGGTGTCAATACTTTAGAGTTAGCCTGACTGCAAACGGAGGCAGACAAGCGCCAACGCCGGAAAGACGCTGCCACCGCCCCTCCCGCTTTAGATGTAGCCCTCCACATGTGCAACATGTGTGGACGACTCTGCCGGTCTCATATTGGCCTCTTTAGTCACCTCAGAGCTCACCAACGAAGGTGACATCCTTAATAACTCGTATCATTGCTGGATGATCTTCATACTCGATTCCGAGGGACAGCAAAGTAATGCAGTAGCTTGGTGGCCATATTAGTAGCTAAATATTCCTCTATTTGTTAATTTCAGATTTATACTTTTTTTTTCTTTGAAATGAAGATCCTTCAGACAATGTTGTATATAAATTGGATTTTGGGTTTTAATCCTTTTGTGCATCATAACATGAATCACGTCAAATTGGGTAGCACTGCAGGTATTTGCATTGGACACAAAGTGTCGTTAAAATTTAAAATTTCACCAAAAAGGATTATTTGAAGATATTTGCATTAAATTATCGTGCGTCAAAGATGAATGCATGGTCTTCCAAGTGAAGCTTCCAGAAAGTACCAATACACTGGAGTTCCGCTTGCCATCAGTTTCCTCCAGTCAGTTGTGATGGCAGGTCACGTTTGTCTCTTTCCTTTCCTACCTTCCCCATGATGATGAGTCATATAAAACTCCAAAGTCGCTGTTAGAAAGCTCATAAAATTCTACTTCTCTAACTATATTCTGTACAGTACAGTGGTAATCCCTTGGTAGGTTTGTGAAAATATATAAGGTATGATGCTGAAACAAATAATTTTTTTTCTTTATTCAGAGTGAAAATATATAGTCCTATCCTCATCTTTTTTTCTGATTATGTTAAAGCCAAAACAATAATGGAGCCAGTGATGTATAAATCACGCTAAAAAGAGGGGGGGGGGATAAATTGGCCTCAAAACAAAAGATGACCGGACCGGACCTCACATTAGTGGTCCCATATGACTTTTGTTTTGGTCACAGAAACTTATTGCATGCATGAGAGGGGTAATTTATGGTGATGAAATGAGAACAATTAGTGTGAAAACTGGTTAGTTAATGAGTACTGTACGTTGATTTTGTTACTGTATAAGGTTGTATTATTACTATATTCTGGAAATTATTGGTATATTTTTATAGTCCTACTATAATTCTCTTTAGCGTGTGAACTGATTGTATGTTGTTTTCCCCCCCAGAATTAAAGAGGTCTCTGTATGCGATATTCTCCCAGTTTGGCCAAATTCTCGACATAGTTGCACTGAAGACTTTAAAAATGCGTGGCCAGGCTTTTGTGATCTTCAAGGAAATTCAGAGTGCTACAAATGCCATGAGAGCTATGCAAGGCTTCCCATTTTATGACAAACCTATGGTAAGTAGCTACTGTTGTGTAACTTTTATTCATGTATTTCTGATCAGTAATGCAACGTGGAGATGAAATATGCATTCTTGGTTTACATACAACACCCAAACCTGCATAACTCACCTGGAAAAACCCAGCACAACAAAGAGAGTGCTGTACTGTAGGTGAAGCTCTTAGCATTTGTTAATACTGTAGGCAGAGCCAGGAACATGTATTAACCTGGTGAGGTGGAGGCTGCTGGTGTAGATGGTTCTCCTGCCACTCAGTGTAGGAGTAGTGCTCATGTCCCTAAAAGGCATTTTCAGATTCTCAGACCATTTTCATCTGTCACAAGGGAGTTGTGCTGACCATCAAGTAAGCCCCAACTGCTACATTTAAGACTTCCCTGGGTTCCTGTGGGTATATTCCTGAGCCATTTTTCTGGGGCATTTGGTCATGAATAATTATGTATTGTATAAATTACTGTTAATATTCAGTGAAGATGTCCCAGGTACTGTACTGTAGGAGACAGTTCAGTAAAACTTTTATAGTTGATTCTTACAATCCAATCTTGGTTTAGTTCACCCAAAATTAGATTAGATAAATAACTAAAAACTTTGGTAGAAATATTTAACAACGGAAATGGCAAATAATTTTTTGGTGCGATGTGAAGAAGAATCATCATATGGGAAGACAGAAGCAGTCGAGTAGTACCAACTTGTGTACAGTTCTTAAGGCTCAGTGGAGAGCGGGCTTTATCGTTTATGTCCCTAATGTACTGTCAGAACTATGAGACCCACTGTCTTTTCTTGTTGGACACCTACACATCCAAAAAGTCAATAGCAAATGACTTGAGAAACATGACACATGGTGGAGGCAAGTACCGGAAGTATCTGATAGTGGGAAGACTTTCATCTCTGACTAATTTTTTTAATTTTTGTGTACATGTACTTTTGAAGGTTTCTACTGTAGCTGTTAAGGAAACTGTTTAAGCCAAGTGTTGTATAATATATATAGGAGCGAGAGTGGTGGTTTACTACACATATTTGTTCTGTGGTGAACTCAAGATAAGCATAAGTACAGTAGCTAAAACAACTATCTGTGCAGGTGTGGGTCAATATGCTCCAAAATTTTTCGTGTGACTAGTGACAGCCCTCATATACCAATATTTATCTTCCATGGTCTCATATTGTTTCCCACAAAGTATGCACAGATATATGTTTTAGCTACTGTACATATACAGTAATGTTAAGAAGAGTAAGGATAAATTGTGTGGTTAGCTACCCAATGAAACATGAGAATCGAGGAGAAGCCACAGTCATGAGGGGTATTGAGTGTCGCCATCACAGCTGTTTGGTTCACAATCATAAGTCCTTGACACTGTTATTTACTGTGGCCTTTAAAATACTGTATATTGTTTTATTCCATTACTTTATTCTTAACATTTCCTGTATTTATTATCCTGAAAGTGTCTGTAATTGTTTTGATTATTATTTATTTATCTAATTCACATACCTGATTTTCTAATGCAACTAACACACAATTATTTAATACAAAGTGAAGCTGTGACACCCTTCTTAACTAACATACCGTATATACTCGTGTGTAGTTGAGTTTTTAAGACCAAATTTTTAGGCAAAAAATTGGGGGTCGACCTCTACATGGGTAATGGTTTTGTTAGGTTGAACCCGTGCATGATGGGAAGGGCGAGGAGCAACTTTTAGCTTCAGACATGAAAAATATTTACCAGTTACTGCCAGTAAACAATGGAAATGTAAAATATGTACCAATTAGTAATGAAAAGTTGTGTAGTTCCTTCAGCAGATGAAGCTCACCAACTTACAATAGGCTAAATTACCTTACAACGTGCTTTCAGTAGTCTATGTTGAAGTTCTTAGCACAGGCTAACTTATCATATCATATACGGTATCACAGTTCTCATTGATCTACAAAAAATACCGGTAATAAAAACCTTTTCGATATTTCACACTTAATATAATACCCGGTAATCTACTTCAACCTCCTATTGTTTACAACGACACATGACGCACCACCATCTGTTGTGTATCAGCTAGACGGTACACGTGTTTTTCGAATCGTTTTCAGTTAAGAAACTGTTACATCACATGTATATTTTACCTTAACTGTGCCTGAATGAATATATTCTCGGAAATAAATAGTAGTTTTGCTGAAAAGTGATGTATTTCAATGTAAAATAGGATAAAATACATGACGAAAACAAAAGATTTTACCTAACCTTCCAATGTTCAAGAGAAGTTACTCGTTTTTTTTTAATAGTTTTCTGTTAAAATACTGTTATATTACAATGATATTCTATTTATACTGTGCTTGTTATAATGCATTCATGGAAATGTAATATTTTTTTCTGAAATGACATACGTATTACAGTGGAAAGTGGGATAAAATCATGACAAAAACAATCGACTTTCGCTTTCTTTCGTTGTTCAAAAGATGTTACAGTAATCGCTTTTCGAATGGTTTTCAGTTAAAAAAAACTGTTGTATTACAATAATATTCCCTCCTAATTGACGTGAATAAATACTTGAATGGAAATATACAATATTTTTGCTGAAACTACTCGCGTTTCAGTGCAAAGTGTCGTAATAATGGTAAACAATTTGCCTTCGGCGCTCGGTGTTTCAGGCACGGCGAGCCTCAGTTTATAGGACGTAGAGTGTTTTTAGTGAAGGTTTTGCTGTTCCATTACCCTCAAAAACTTGGGTCGACCTATAAACGAGGCATATCATAAATTAATGATTTCTTGGTCAAAAATCAGGGTCGACCTATAAACGAAGCATATCATAAATTAATGATTTCTTGGTCAAAAATCAGGGTCGACCTATAAACGAGGTAGAAGTATAGACGAGTATATACGGTAACATAGATTAGTTAAATTAGGTTAGCTCTAATTGGTTCAGGTCATCCTCAATAATTGCTTAGCATTATACAGTAGTCTAACAGCCATCACTGGACCACAGACGGCAATGTTATCCAAAATACTTACACTAATACAGTATAAAACCAGTTTGCCGTGCTTGAAGGGCGGTTCACTTACAAGGTTAAGCCCTGACGAGTTTCTAACCTAACTATATATGGGGGTTGTGTATCACCAACCACTATCATTCTATTCCTCCTTGTTTAATAACTATAATACTTTTCAGTGTAACTCAATAAATGTCTGACTGTCAGGGGTGTGAAGTGGTGGTGTTAACGTCATGTGAGATGTATGGCTGGGTCATGTGTGCCCAGTTAGAGGCACCTGATACAGCTCAAAGCCTAATTTTATAACTTATACCATTATACCATATCAGGGTTAATAGTGTGAAGGGTGTGGATGATTTAAGTTAGAGTGAGGTTACTTGAAGTGATTGTATGTCACCGATTGATTGATTGTGTGGGGAAAAATACCATGATAATAATGTACAGTGTTTGAATGGAATAGTTAAGAATGTGTAGTAGTGGCCACATTTTCTCTGTGGTAAGGCCATGTGTGTCTAATTATCTTACTTTGTTACAGATCTGTATGCCTAAGTCCTTTGCTGAATAAAGCCTTTTAGAGGGAGACACCAGTAAAGAACTTAACCATAGAGATCTGTAAGAATGAAAGACAATTAGGCACATAACGCAGGCCTTAACACATCCTCCTTGTGTACCAGAGGCTTAGTTCACATGCTGCGTCTACACTAATGTCTCTGGGAGTCAACTTCACCTTAGAGAGAAAATAACATGAGTAGATATGTGGAAGGAGAGAGTTTGTTGAAGTGTACAGCAGAGAAGTGTACAGTCATACTTACTCAGGTTATAAGTTTAATGGATTATTGTTCCCACAGAAAATTGCTTATTCCAAGACTGACTCAGACTTGATAGCAAAACAGAAGGGAACGTACAAGGAGCGAGGAAGCAAACGAAAGGAAGAGGAAAAGAAGAAAAAGAAAGGGAAGGAACCCAAAGGAACAACAGTTGTGCCTGCTGCAGGAACACCTAGTGTTACTGGTAATTATTCTCTTTCTCTTCTGACTGCTGACACACATATGAAGGTCCCACGACTCCCAACGTGTGTAAATATTTGATGAAAACTTATAATGATGAAAATATCCTTGCACTCGTAGACTGTCAGGTTTTTTAAACTTGAGAGCTGCTGAAAAATTTTGGCCCCTCAGAAGCATGTGGCTGTCTGAGGCTGATTATTAAAAGTGTACTTACTGTACTGTTACCCATGTTCAACACATCCTGACCATTTTCTTCTTTTTTTTTCCCAGCCAAACCAGGAACAACTGTGGTACCTCCACGTCCAAATCTCTTCAACCAGCCACCTCCAGTTCATGGTGGTAGTGGAATGGGTGTACCAGAACAACCTCCTAACCAGATTCTTTTCCTAACAAATCTTCCAGATGAGACTTCTGAAATGATGTTGTCTATGCTTTTTACACAGTAAGTCTCTGGTGTTTAAGATTATTATCTTTTATATACAGTACTTGGTGAAAAACAGTTAAAGTTAAGAGGTAAGACCTACAAATATATTGTTCATGTTGTGGTGGATTGAATAGTGTCAAGCTGAACAAGAAGTTACTCAGGGGGGGGGGTGGGTTAAGTCTGGCTGTAGCTCATGTATGGTGTGGCATCATAAAGCAGTATAGTGCTGTACTGTATGTGGGGTCACAGTTAGATGTTTTCCAAGGCATTTTGTTTGTTGTACTGCTTCCAGTAGTTTGTCTGGTCCATTTGTTTCCTCAAGCTGCAAATAAATCCTATAATATGAAGGTAACAGTCACTCCTTGATCTGTACTGTAGGATGAACATTCCTCTAGTTGCTGCGGCGTAAAAGTCATAAAGTTTCAAGACTTTCGTAGCAAGTTATTTAAAAATTAATGTCGGCTGAAATACTCATTGTTCATGGGACAGTATTGATAAATTTTGGATGTTAAAAAGTAAATTGTTCCTGGGAATTTGTCACAGAGGCTGGCATATGAGAGGGATGATTATATAGCACCCTGTACAGTATGAGAGTGAATGTAACACTTACAGAGGACATAGTGTTGAGCATACCAGGTTAAGTAAGTATTTGGTCGAGTGATTAATGGGAGGAGGTGTATCAAGGGGAGAGCAAGTGGTCAGTCAGGTGAAGATCTCTCACATAACTTATATCTGTACCTATTTTATTTCGGGTATATATTTTTATTTTTTTTTTTATTTTTTATTTTTTTTATCAATATTTTAAGTGTTTTTGTATGGAAAGTTTTCTTGTGATAGGCAGTGAGAAAACATGACATTGTTTTAGGACCTTTGTATGAACAACAAATTTTTTTAGCTATCAGCCCAAAATATAATACAGTACAGTGAATTTTGCATTACACTCGACTTATATAAGTAATTTTGGCTTGCAGTGCAATTTAATTTATATTTTAACCAATCTACAGTACTGTACTGTACTCTGTTCTGCAAAAATGACAATCCCAGCCAACAGTGTACATACAATATACTGTATACAGGTATGGGACCAATTATTCAGCATCCCGGTATCCAGAATACAGTGCTTAAAAAAATGCTGTTACGAAACAAATTATTAACCCATCGTTAGTCACGGTACCAGGAACCCACCACCCCCCATTCTCACCCACTGATCACAAAAAAAAAAAGTAGAATTTCCCAAACCATTCTAGATAGGTCCCACATCAACAAACAAGGGAATAATAGTGAAAAAAGTTCTTAAGTCAATTTAATGGGCCCATGGGATGACATATTGCCCAGACGGGTCTGGTGTGTTTGCTGGCCATCAATAAAGCTACTGAAACTTACTCAAAACGGTATACAATACTCTACATTCACACACAAATGCACATACTGCAGGGTTGTTTCAAATTTCTTGCAGTGTGTGTGGTACTTGCCAAAGCAAGGAACATGACACATCACTCTCACTCACAGGCAGTGGTGAAACACCATATTGTCCTGTCTCCCCACCACTATTGCACTCCCTTTCATAACTTTCACTCTAAGTGATTTACCTCAATATAGTCAGTGTCACGGTCACTGTCATCAAAGTCACTTACCTAGTCTGTATCAGTGTTGTCTATTTCACTGTTATCGTTCTGTTCTGCCACACTCGCATTTATAAACAGAATGTTAGAAATTTCCTCATCTGTGCAGAAGTGTTGTGTTCTGAGCAATGTCTACTCGCCATGGTGGCCTCATGGTTAGTGGGTCAGGTCAAAGGCACAAAGGGTAATAGTAGTGTGTGGGTGTGGTGGGGGGTGGTTGCCAAACACCAGCATACAACCATAGGACCCATCAGAGGAAAATTACATACCCATGTACAGTACTGACATTATTATAGACAGTATATGTACGTGACAACCAGGAAAGTCTATGGCATATCTCCCATACAAGTACAGATCAACTAACTATGGGTTAAAATGAGCTCTTAAGTAATTCCCTGGCTGAGTGGGGAGATTTCTAACCATTCTCCACCTTTGAGCTATATGTTATGGTATGGTTACTTTTCAACTCATAATTTCGGGTAGATACACATGATTTTCTAAATTTGTTTACTCCGAAAGAATCACACACAATCTTACATACAGACAGTGGAAAAAATGATTATCATAAGGTATAAAGTCTTATGTTTCTACGGGTTTCCACCATGAAGCCATGTAAGTGTGTGAGTGTGTGGAGATTGGGGGGTCCGCAGTGCAGAGCACCGTTGCTGGGGACACTTGTTGCATTGCTAAGCCAAGCATCAGTGGGGATTATGACGCAGTTTGTCCAGTAACTTTTACTGTATCATTTTGCTCTTTTTATGCTTTCATTATTGCAATTTATATGCCTGCATTTTTTAGATTTAATGTTACCGTGTACAGTTAAAGCTACTTTTAGGGGTGAATCTAGTGATCTGAACAGAGGCTTCTCAGCCAGTTATAGATGGTTTAATGTACATTTTAAGCCTGTTGCTCCAAATTCCTGAAAAAATCCTTATCTAGCAAACCCCAGATCCCAAGCATGCAAGATAAATGGTCCCATACCTGTACATGGAAATATTGAGACTATAGTATGTTGATATTGTTGGGATCAAAGGTCTCAATATATTGTAAGATTTTGACGAGTCTCGTGAGAAGTTTAGCTAGTTGGGGTTGAGAACTTACCATTTCTGTAATTCTGACCATTGTAGATCTTAATTTACATTACTTCCCCAGGGATGCATGTGATAGTTTGTATTGTTGTTTGATTTGTTGGAGTAAAAAGTCCCAACAATGATAAAGTACTGTAGTGGTTTTGAAGGAAGACAAAGGTCTGCAGTTGAAGTTAAAATAGTTATGTTCTTATCAGTGATGTTCCTTAATGTCATAATTATACCTAAAAACTTTTTCCTCAGGTTTCCGGGCTTTAAAGAGGTGCGTCTTGTCCCTGGACGTCACGATATTGCCTTTGTCGAATTTGAGAACGAGATGCAGTCTGCAGCGGCAAAGGACGCTCTACAAGGCTTTAAGATAACACCCACACATGCAATGAAAATTGCTTTTGCGAAGAAATAAGATTGATACAAATGTTTGTGTGTACCGTACTGTAGTGTTTAAGGACAGTTTTGCCACATTTTCATCTTAAAAGGTGACAAGTTTGGGAAATGAATATGATTTTAGGTATGTATTAAAGTTCGTAATTTATACAATTGTTAATACAGTGAAAATAATTTTGATCAATTTAAAAGTCTTTGAATTTACTCTTGAGAATATTTTTCATAATGTAATATATACACTGCCCCCTCACTTAACACAGATTCACTCAAACACAGTCTTTTTATTACTACCCAGTATCGTTCAACCAAGGGTTAATATTTGCTTTAACTTCGGTTGTGCTGGACTAACACGGGAAAATTCAAACGAAAGCAGTCGGGTACAAACGTTTGGCATAGGCCAGCGGTCAAGTCCATTACATTCCACGGGTAGCATCCCCATGGCTCCACCTAAATGTTCCTTAAGTGCCCCTCTGCCTGGAGACACTCAAGCAAAGAAGAGTAGGACCACATTTACTCTAGAAAGTAAGTTAGACAGACATTATTCAATGTCTTGGGAGAGTGAAAACGATCCACCTAAGACGGCTTCACACGGTTGTTAACATCCTACACCACCATCGTTCTTCATACCCTTCTTATGTGAGTACAGTACAGGTAACTCACTTTTGATTTTGTGTTTTTGGAATAAAGCGATTGTTCAATTAATACCAAAAGTTAATTAACGCACACCTATTTTATAAATAACTCACTCAAGACAGTTTGAATTTGTCCCGTGTATTCACCTGGGAGCGGAGTTGCGTGTGATGCCTGGTGAGGTGCTTGTAAGTTATTACTAAAAAGTCGCAGTCATATCAACATCAATGAGAGCACTGTTCATACTCTGAACGGTAAATGATGGTTCCCGTAATCTGTACCATTTACATGTACAGTGGTCCCTCGGTTAACAAGCACAATCCGTTCCAGCAGGTTGCTCGTTAACCAAAACCATTGTTTCAATGGGTTTTTGGGTAATTGGTTCCAGGTCACCAAAAATTGCCTAAGTTCAACAATAATGTTAGAAATTGACACTTAGGGGTTACTTTGAGGTGTGTATGTAGATGGCTCCTGGATGATGATGATGATGTGAATTTGAAGTGGGAGGTGCAGGAGGAGGAGGGAGAAGAGAAGGAAGTGGAGGTGGAGGAGAAGCATTTTACTGCTTCTTGGAAGGTGTCACTTCCATGAAAATGTCAGGAACCTCTGGACTGACAGATTCTCCACCATGAACATCCTCTCTCCTTGAAGTAGAAGGCTGAGGGCTAGCATCATCCTCTCTCCTTCTTGAAGTGGAAGGCTGAGGGATAGCATCTTGTTCCTTCTGCCTTTTACTGAAGAAAGTGTCAATTGTAGTCTGTGGGGCATCTCTCCTCCTCACCATTAACTTATGTTTAAAGAAGGAGACCACTGAGTCCTCAACATGACACAAAGTTAGTTAAGTTTTTTCCACATCTGGGTGCCTTGAAGCCAGTTCCCTCAACTTCTCTTAGTGGTAAATCACATCTTTCAACTCTTTAGTTGACATATGGTCATCACTTTCAATTTCCTCCTCACCACTGTCAGCCTCTAACATCTCATCCAGTTGCTTCAAGTCATCAGGAGTAAGTTCCTCCTCATGAGACATCACAAGCTCTTCGACATCATCCTCTTCCACTTCAAGACCCAATGACTGACCAATGGACACAATCTCCTGGTCCAACTCTGTGTCATCCTGAAATCCCTCAAAGTCATGGATTACTGATGGCCACAGTGCTTTCCATGAAGAATTGAGGGATCTAGTGGAGACTTGTTGCCATGATGATACAATCAATTTTACGGCCTCAAGTTTCCGCCGTCAAAATTGAAAATTATGTCATGTTTTTTTGTGTCGAAATAAAAAACGTCGAATTAAAAACTCGCGAAATTTGAGAAGCTACTGTACGACATTTAACCCTTCAATATGTCTTCAAAGAGACCACGAAGCAGTGAAAGTGTTGCAAACGTAAACGCAAGTCACTACCTGTCCTGGAAAAGGGTGAATTTCCATGGTCCGGCACCGGTCAGGTCCCAAGGTTGCCGGACTAGAGACGTACAACCTGTAATACTTTACAGTAAATAACAATGATATTGGTGACAACAGTTGTTGACAACTAGACTTATGTCTGATTTTTAACCCGGAGAGTTCTGTTTCATATTTTTTTATTGTTGATGTAATATTCTTTTAATAACCTTGTTATACACTTAAAGACCTTAGTTGTTGAAGTGCAGTAATAACATAACTGATTTGCTTTAAACAGTGACCCCCACACACACACACACACACACACACACATTTATTAACTTTTTTCGGACTAGGGTCTGCCCTATTTAGTCCAATTTATCGAGGTTCTACTGTATGACCAAAAAATCGGTTATTAAGATTTTCAAAAGAAAAAAATTGCTATATAGAGAACAAAAAATATCACCCAAATTATCAAATTGATTTTGTGTGGATTCTGGCGCAGCTCTCCATCTGGTAGCAACCACCACAATAATGGTGCAACTCAGTTTGAATTCTTTCCCAAGTTTGTATTCAATTATGCATCTGTGTTACTGTGTACCATTATTCAAGATGAGTGGATAAAGACCATCAAGTTTAAGTGAAAGCAATGGGGATAAAAGATTCTGTAAAGGAATTGCATTGGACATTAAACTTGATGTTTTAAGGAGGTAACTCCCAGTAACTGATCAGACCACCTTACCTCACCACCACCTGCAGCACTCAACATTGTTTCTGGTAAGTAAAATTTGAGTGTTTTGTTCAGTTATTATCATGAATGACTCACTGTATGTGGGTAAACCCGTCAAATGTCATACATATACGTGCAAGAGAGCTCTGGCTCAGCCATGTTAATATTATCAACTGTGTTTTTCTGGCTAAATAAACTGTTTCAATCAATCAAGTGGAGGTTAAATTATAGTTATTTTTCAACTGATAATTTCAATTAGATAAACTTAACTTTCTTCATATCTTTTTTATTCAGTTACATGGATACACAATCCTACATACTGTTCAAAAATAAAAAATAATAATCATTTGGTCAAAAACATAGAATGATTAAACTGCTTCATGTGGCAGCGGGAGGTGGAGTGGTGCTGAGGGGATTCTCCAGCTAGTCCAGTTTGGTACAGTAAAGCAAAGCTTGAGGGAATCCTTGTGTGATGCAACCAGTGTCTGCAAATGGCTGTGGTGTTAAACTTTTGGGAACTGATTTTATGAACATGTTGGTGCCTCCACAACATCATGTTTAAGTGAATTTGTAGATGTATTGTATTGTATGTGTACAGGTGCTCCTCTACTTAATAACGTTCAACTTACAAACTTTCAGAGATACAAACATCATCACTGAGGGGGTGTTACCTGCCAGAACAGGTGTTTAATGTGGATGAGACAATTATTTTGAAGAACATTCCAGATAGAACAAACATTACCTAAGAGGAGAAGAGTGAGCCAGGTTTTAAGGCTGTATTAAAGGGTATAGCTGTACTAAATATCCATAATCTTTTTATTTTTTACAAGATGTTTGGTATCTACGAGAGTAAAGTTGGACTTACAAACAATTGGACTTACAAACAAGCCTCAGGAACGTAACTCATTCATAAGTAGAGGAGCACCTGTATTCGTGAACTACTTTAGAGCTGTACAATATTTTTGGACTTTGGATTTGGTGTGGTGGTGGGGGGGGGGTCCTGACACAGCGCTCCATGTTATAATTCTTTTGCTCTACACATCATTTTCCAGGAACGCAACCCCTGGGCTAAGCGAGGGGGCAGTGTACTGTACTGTCCTAACAACTTAATGTGAATATAAATAGCCAATTTGTACCTGATGCATCATTTACTGCATTGTCAAGTGGAAAAGCAAAACTTGTTAGGACTGTCAGTGGCTACACATTATTACACTGATTAAATTATAGTTTAATTAAAAATCATTTGTATTTTATGACCAAGCAGAACAATGTGGTAACAAATATCCAGGTTTCCTATTGTGTAATTTCCATTACATCCTAGTTCTGTATATGTGCACTAACGGAAAGTGTGCACATGCCTCTCAACCAGAATTCTGTATTGTACAAATTTTATGGAAAAAAATATGGAAATGTTTAATAAAAATAATTTGTACTGTGACTTTTCTAACACTTACATATCGTAGCTAATAAATTAATAAATGTAATAGTAGATCATCAAACTGATTATTAGTGGTAATGTTATATATGTGAAAATCAATAATGAAATCAATTTGCTTTTCGTGTATTTTAGTATCAATTAAAATGTTTCTGCCTTAGAGAGTAAGTAGCTTTGGGTTATTTGTGGCTACCAACCAAAGTTACTACCATTTGCCAGTGAACCCTCATTTATACAGACTAATTGGGGGTATGGGGTTAAGATTAGCTGAAAGTCTGGACTTGACATGGATAAAGCAGGATTGGTTGTCCATTCTGTGGTGCTAGGTGAGGACTGATGAAGATGCCAGGGGGAGTACTGGTGCCAGCCAGGAAGGAAGGCAAGCTGGTGGTGGTTAGGTCATGGTTAAGCTGCTAACCTTTCAGTTGCAGGAAAATCAACTACATCATCGTCACTATCATTGTGACGTGTATGGGAAGGTTCCAGCCGAGACAACACTCGTGGTTTCACTACCACTACGGGCTGGGGCTATTTTCCAACTCTCTCTCCCCTTTCCTGTTCCCGTTCCCCATCACCTTTCCTCTTCCCATCACCTATATTTCCTGATCTATCACTGATAGACACTCAACAGAACATCATGAACACAAAAAAGAACACCCAAAGCTGTCAGATGTGTCCGTCTCAGAGGAAGTGGTTGGGGCGACTGTTTGAAATGGACAAGAGGGGACCGTGTGTCCCCAGGCTGACTTGGCTCTGCCCACTGCCCATTTGGATGATTGGCCTAGAACAGGTGAGCACTCCTGGCCTGTGAGAGTTGATATACAATGTGGTGTCTTTAGATTGATGCACATCTGTTTGTTTATCTTTATCATCTCTTGGAACATTCACAGCTCCTCTCTCTCCTTTATGTTCATGTCCTCTCAAACAAAAGAAGTGCACTTTACACACTCAACAAAATGTTTGCCCATTACATTTAGATATAAAAGTAATAATCTCCCCTCTGGCCAGAATAATTGGTGTAGAGCAGGTCCAGGTTGAGATATTTCTGGGTTCTGGATATTAAGACAAATTTTCTTATCCCCGGAAAAATCTCAACTTTCCCAGTGTCATTCAAAAGGTGTCCTATCATGTATTGTAGTGGTGTTATAGGCCAGAATGATGGGCTGTATGAGCAAAGTGGTGTTGGGTGGCAAAATCTCTACTTTGATGTGTCCCCTTCACCACTTTAATTCATCTTGAGGGTAGGCAGGTGCATTATCAATGATGAGCAAGGCCTTGATGCCTGGGGATGCCATGGACTGCTCTATGGTATTGTCTGACTGCTTGGACAAAAACATGGTGGAACCAGCCTTCAAATATTTTCTGGGTGAATCAAGTCTTTTTGTTACCATGCCAGGATACAGAAAGAAGATCCATAGAACTGTGAAGCATTTTAAGCCTCTGGGCATCTCCAACCACCATGGGTTTGATTTTGTGCAAAAATTTAGAGGAAGGAACTATTACTCCTGCATACAGTATAGATGCCCTGGAGTATGTCGCACTAAGTGTAGACAGCGCTGATCCGACTGAGTCTTCTGCTGCGTGTTGGCTGTTTGCTTACATTTGGGAAGAAGACTGCAACATGTTCAACCTGTCAAAAGTGTAAATAGTTCCCAAGACAAGTACCCATGACTGTTATGTGTGGGAAAAACAAGAAATTATTTTTTCCCTAAGATTAAAAAAAGAAGTAAGTTAATTTTAATATGTGTTTTGTGGAAATTAAGTG